TACCTTAAAATAATAGTTTTAACCTCTATTTTATGTTCCATCTGTTTATATAGTACATCTTGACTCTCCAGTCAGTTACTTGAAAATATTAATAAACCCTGCGGAAATGCAGCTTGAGGCCTCTTTAAAATTTTCTGAACTGTTTCTTCAGGAGTCAGGTGTCCTGTTTAAATTCCTGGGCTTTTCTCTTTGGGGCTTCAGATTTGTATTTAAATCTAAGTGGTGAACTTTGGTTATCCACTTACATTTAAGAACAAAGGCTGAGTTGATTTTTCTTAATACTTGGTGTGGGTTTTCCCTGCTCTTATGTATGTGGGTCTGATTTCCTGTTCAGTGCTGAATTGGAAGGCTTCATGGGCCATTGATGCTGTGGGGAGCTTGTCTCGTGGTAGTTTCACAGGAGGATCAACACTGAGAAGAGGCTAGATTTTCTTCAGGAGTTTCTGTGGTTGTGGGGGCAGGTGCCTCCAAATGCCGGAAAGGAGGGCTTTATTCTAGGGTGTTGACAGTACTCTAGCCCTCCTGGTTCTTACCAGACAGTTGTTAGTTTTTGTTTTTTTAACCTTTCATTTTGAACTAATTTTAGACTTAGAGAAGTTACAAAAATAATAGTTTCTGTATATCCCTTATCCAATTTCCCCTAATATTAATGTCTTACATATAGTACAATTTCCAGGCAGTTTTAAAATTTCTTTATAAAGAATCCTCAATAGTTTGCCCACCAGTAAAATTTTGGCACCGTGCGTGGACAGAAGGCAGGGAGGGGACGGGGAGGGGAATGAAGGGCGCCCGCACGCCCAGTGCACCTCAGGCAGACTTCAGTGACCCTCTCTTTTTCACCCGCTTTAAAATCCCAGTTTCTGTTGCAGCTGCCCGGTGAGCCTGGATCTTAATGGTACCTTGCCAGGCAACTCACTCCCCACCCTCTCACTTTCCTAAAGTTTTCTCCTATATCTTCTTCTCTGGGAAACCTCAGTTTTTGCTCTTAAAGCCTTCAACTGACTAGATAAGCCCCCATATCTTCCACCCTAATTATGGAGGGTAGTCCCTTTCACTTAAAGTCAAATGATCATAAATGTTAATCACATCTATAAAATACCTCCACAGCAATATCTAAACTAGCGTCTGCCCAAACAACGGCACCATAGCCTACCCAAGTTGCCACATAAAAGTAACCATCATCCACTCTATTCTTTTGGCCATCTTGTCCTTGACCTCCAGAAATGCGTTGAAATCTTTCTTCTTCTCCTGATGTTCCTTCCCCATCATGTGGCCTCACTCTTATGTCCTTCCCCCATTTAGTATCATTTCATTAGATTCTAGGGAGACAAATGCTTGTACTTATTCCACTATCTTCTACTAGTACAAACCAAAGTTTATTTGTTAAAGAGAGCCTGACTGCTCATGCAAGTGCCCCTGCTAAACATTGGCATGTCAGCAGAGGTCAGCGGTCCTACTGAGATTAAGAAGACAAAGTATCACGTGATTCAGCTCAAATGTATTTGCGTTACATATTACTCTAGACAGATTTGCCAGTGTTAATGCTTAGGTACCTATTGCATTGTATTTACTTAGAATTTTTCAAATATTCATTTTATGTAATCTGACCTATCTAAATGAAATTATTTGCCTATTTGTTTGGCTATAAGTCCATTCAACTTTGAAATATTTGAAAATTTTTCAAAATATGAATTCACAACTTTGTAATCTGACCCTTAACTTTCTTATTTTAATTTTTAAAATCATAAGCAAAGCTCTTTCAAGGGCTTATTCACGTCTGTAATTCACAATACCTAGGACAGTGCTTTGTCCAAAGTCAACACTCAAAAATTATTTTTAAATATGTTTACATTTTCCAAAAATTCTTTAGCTTTCTATAATAGCATAATTTAATATGGCACATTAGACATTTCACATGCTTTAATTTCTGATATCTCATTCACTGCTCCAATTCAATGCTGCTTGTGGGGTAGGGAGGTAGCAGGCATTTTTAGTCTCATTTTACAAGTAGGACATTGGGGCTCTGTCTGAAATGGTAAATAATTTGCCAAGGTCATGGACCTTACAGCTTCTGAATCTGCTTGATTCCAGGTCTTCTGACTCCCAATTCTGTCTCTTTATTTTGCATATGTTATAGCATCTGCACATATCCCTGAGGGATATTAGACAATGAGCATATATCCATAAATCCTAGTACCGTTGGGTATGCTAATGATGGACTCACACTCAGGGCGTGTTCTGTGAATGACGTAAACTATCTCTTTCTTTTATAAGAAGGTAAGTTCCCTTGGACAGTCAGTCCAACCCGCTATGCCCTTGCTTGTTCTGTACCCACGGACCAGATAGACTCATGCATGAAACATGCTCCCAAGGCCAGGCGCTCTCCCAGCAAAAGTGTTCACTAATCAGAAACCACCGTGTATTTTCAAAAGCAGAGCCTCCTTACCACCATCGAAAATTCATCCACACAAAAACATCAAATTAAATCTACCGCATCATTCACTACTGGCAAGCAGAACTGCAACCCTTCCCTCCGCCCCATATCTCCCAAGACATATCTTGTCAAAAATCAAGTTGTGATTTAATTAAATGACTAGATGAAAAAGTAACACTATCTCGTTTTTTTAAAAAGGCATTGTTTCAATATGAATACAGGCTCACTTCACAAGTACATATTTTCTTTTTGTTTTAAGAAATACCATGTGTCTTCATTTAATATAAAACACATGTGACAAAAAACCAAGAATAGTCCCCCCAAAGCAAGGCCCCATCATTGCTATGAATTAACTTTCTCTGGCCACCACCTGGAGGGAATAGGGGGACAGTTTCCTTGCCAAACCCTCCCAAAACTTTGGTTTCCTACTTTTTCTTTATTCCTCTTTTTTTTTCAGGGCTGCCTCTGAGACCTCTCCCGACCTCCCAGTCCACACCTTTCCATTGGACTCACCCACACACTGTCAGCCTAAGTGCCTAACTAATCTTTGCTGCAAATCATGTATTATTCAGCCAGGTTCAGGCCGGGGCTCCTATTATTCCACTTAGGTTGCCAAAGGGTTCGAGGATTAAACAAGTCCTTCAAGTACGTGTTTCCTGTTATCACTCCTCTTCCAGAGCACGGGAGCATCCTTTGGGTCTGAGGTTCATAACCTCAAGTCTCCGACTTGGCTGTGGGGACGTGCGAATCCCCAGAAGGGGAGGGTGAAATAACATGAACATAAATGCATTTTCTTGAGGAGTGGCTCTATAGTTTTCCTCAGATCCTAAAGGAGACTGGTGACCCAAGAATGTCTAATAAGCATGGCTGGTTCTCAGAGGCTCTTCACTTCCACCAGCTCCTGTTTGGACTTGGGTTCTGGGCTCTGGCTGATGGGCAGGTCCGGGGGCAGCAGCCTGTTTCCGTCTGGTTCCCCTGTTGTCCTTCCCCAGTCTGCTGGGCTTTGCCTCCTGCACACTTCCTCAGTGTGCTGCCCCTTGGCTGGACCTGAGCTGTGCTTGGCTTTCCCTACTCCTTTCCACACACCCCTGCCTGCCCTGGCATGGAGGTGCTCCTGTCTTATTTATTTCCAGTTTGGTTTATCTGAGAGCTTCTTTCTGAATATAGAGAATCACCAGAAGTTTTCCTCAACCCCATGCCCCTCATCACTGCACCCGGCCATCCAGGAGCCACTGCCTTCCGTAAGGGGTGGCACATTCCCTTTTCAGGGAATCATGTCATTCAGAGGAATGGCAGCATCCCTGTGCCCTGAGGAATCCTGGCATTGTCTTTAGTCCTGCTTGCCAGTAGTGAATGATGCGGTAGATTTAATTTGATGTTTTTGTATGGATGAATTTTCGGTGGTGGTGAGGAGGCTCTGCTTTTGAAAATACACAGTGGTTTCTGATTAGTGAACACTTTTGCTGGGAGAGCGCCTGGCCTTGGGAGCATGTTTCATGCATGAGTCTATCTGGTCCGTGGGTACAGAACAAGCAAGGGCACAGCGGGTTGAACTGACTGTCCAAGGAAACTTACCTTCTTATAAAAGAAAGAGATAGTTTACGTCATTCATAGAACACGCCCTGAGTGTGAGTCCATTGCAAGCATATCCAACAGTACTAGGATTTATGGAAATGTGCTCCTTGTCTAATGTCTCTCAAGGATATGTACAGCATGCTATAACATATGCAAAATAGACAGAATTGGGAGTCAGAAGACCTGGAATCAAGCAGATTCAGAAGCTGTAAGGTCCATGACCTTGGCAAATTATTTACCATTTCAGACACAGCCTAAGTGTCCTCCTCCCAACTTCCTAAAATTGCAGGATCCCACACTAACATTTTATCACATCCCCCATCCTAGTCCTATCAGCTGCAGTTCAGGAGCAGGTGTGTTTTAGCATGTTTCAACCCTGCTTTAATAACATCTCTCTTAGTCTTATGGTAGCAGTTTCTACATTTTCTGGTTAATTTTTAAACGTTAGAATTGGAAAAAAATAGCCAACCTTTATGAAATATGAAAAACAGAAAGGGGGCTGGGCGTTAAGCGATAAGAAAAGAGTAAAGGAACGCAGGTTTCCAGTGCTTTCTTTGGTTTGGGTCTTTGCTTTGATGGAGGCTCCTTCGAAGAGGACACCTTGCCTCCCGGGGCCCCTCTGATTTGCCGCCCGTGAGATGTCTGAGATGAGCAGGGCACAGCTGAAAACAAAGCCGAGGGGCCTGGCTTCTGGGGCCTGGCTTCTCAGCCCTGCGAGCCACAGTGGACTGACCCTCGTCCTAAATCAGGCTGGCCGTGAGGGCGGATCTGAGGCCCACTCAAGTGCTATTCCGGCCAAAGTCAGCTCCCCACGAGGTCTGCATTCTGGGCCCGCTGACACTTCCGATAGCCTTGGCTGATATCCAAAGGAGAGAATTCGAGCCCTGCCATATTTAGATCCCTGCCTTAAGGCAGCTCTGAGCTGCTTCACTGCTCTCTCCGATACACAATCCCAAGCCGAGGAAGTGACTAGGCCGTGGCCTCCCGGACTGGCATGAAAGCCCGGTCACGGGCAGAGACCTAATCCCTGTCCTCAGAGAGGGACGGAGGCAGCACCGGCCTGTCGGGTTGCTTGTCCACCCCTTCCCTCCTGTCCCGAGGCCAACACGCAGAAGGGATCATCTGTCCCTCCATGACTGAAAACTAAGCAGCTCTCCTGGGAAGCAAAGCTGGTTCCCTCCTGGGCCCTGTGGGGGCTGCCGGGCGGCCTGGGCGCCATCCAGCTGCGTGATTCCTCCACGTGTGTCTGAATCCAGGCTGCTGCTGCAGAGGGAAGATAATGAAGGTGTGCCTGGCTGACTCCACAAGGAGCTGTTTTTCACAGTTAAGAATCATCAGCGAGACTTTGTAAAGTATTTTAGAGCCCACTGCTGCCGGGTATCTCGCTTTAATCTATCCAAAGGGCCTGCGGGAGAAGAAAAAAATAGGATTAGTGCTTAGCTGGCTGTGGGAACAGGGCGCCAGGAACAAGCTAAACCCGTGTGTGTACAGTCAGGTTCCCCCTCTCCACACACCTCACTGAGCTCTCCTGACCTCTGACCCCCCCACACACACACACACACACACCACACTGCCTTCATGCACCATGGCACCTTCCCACATTTTAAGGAATGAAAACAGCACAAAATGTGAGGACCCGGTTGTGTACTGTAGTCAGGACTAGTGACTTGTAAGGTCCACAGTACCCTCACCCAGCTGAGTCGTTTTGTCTTTCATCAAAGGAGTCACTGTAATGTGGGGCTTTGGTTGTCACCCAGTCATATTCACAGTGTGACAGAGACAAGTCAGAAGAAGGCGTATGTGTCCCACTCCATCCCCCACTTTCCAAGGGCCTTCTTTGTGCCAGGCATTCTACTTTATACTTCTTGTCTGATTTAATTAGTACTCAGAGCGTTTCCATGAGGAAAGGATATTCAGCCCCTTAGTTACAGATGATAAAACTGAGGGTAGACGGTTAACATGCCCCTTATCACAGCCATCCTCTGGCTGACCAGGGTCGGCACCCAGGTCTTCTGGCACGCGAGCCCTTGCCTGTCCTACCAACACCATGCTACTGGGGCAGCCTGTTAGATGGAGCCTGCCCAGTAGAGTCACCCAGGGACTTGGAAAAGGGGTGAGTCAGAAGCTCTTCCGGTGGGGCGCAGCCACCTAGGGAAGAGCAGTACCCAGAGGACAGCCTGCCTCGGCATCCCAGGGCCCAGCAGGGGTCCGAACAAAACCGCCTGCCCCCCTGCGCTTGCTTCTCTCTCTCCGCCCTGAAGACGGAGTTGTTCACTACCCTTCTTCTGCTTAGGGATCAGCCACGGTTCAGGAAGGACTGGAGCAGAGAGCAGAGCAGGCAGGCTGCAAGCGATGCAGGCGGGGATGTCACTGAGAGTGCAGAGGCGGGCAGGCGGGAGAAGCTGGGGCAGAGCAGGGAGGACCGGCGTCCTGCACAGCGATGCGTGCATTAGACTCGAAGGAGGCAAAATGATTGGGTTTTAATGCTAGTGTGGGCAGAGGTCTTATCATCAACATTAGCAAAAAGGAGTAAATGAACAGGAATATTGTGCTTGGAGAGGGACGATGCTGAGGCCATGCTGTACACGCTGAGTCTGAGGAGTTACAAGAACCGGACATGGAGATTCCTACTGGCGAGGGAAATTTGTGGTGAGAGACAAAGGACGTGCTTTGTCTTTCCCCAAACGCATCAAGATGTGAGGCAAACTTTCTGAAGAGCATGAGAAAGTGAATAACAAGAACAGTGCTGCCCAGGTCCTTTTGGGGCATTCAGATAACGTGTGTGCATGCGCACACGCACACGCACATATATACATATATGTGTACATGTATAACATACATATTATATTATACCATTTATATGAAATGTCCGCAATAGGCAAATGCATGGAGACAGAAAGTAGGTTAATGGTTTCCAGGGGCTGAAGGAGAAAGGAGTAGGGAGTGACTCCTGATGGGTGTGGAATTTCTTTGGGAGGTGATGAATATCTTCTAAAATGATTATAGTGATGTTTTCACAACTCGATGAATATACTAAAGCCCACTTTAAATGGGTGAATTGTATGGCATGTGACTCACATCTCAAGAAAAAATAAGGATGTATATGTACATCCTGCTCAAATTGTCATTATTTACTTGACTGAAAATAAAACCCCAACCAAAAATGAATTCCAAATTATGTCCAACCTTTAACTCGCATATACGTGGGCACTTTGGCTCCTTAGGTAGAGACCACACACCTCTTTATTCAGCTCCCCTTTACAGTTTACCTTAGCTGTCCATGCAAGAAACACAAACCTGTGAATTAGGAGAGGGAGGAGCAATTTAAGAATAATTCGATTCTCTATTTAAAGAACCGCATTTATTTGCAGGAGAGAAAAAGTCCTTGATCCTTTGCTGTCTTGTTTGTTCACTGTGAGCACCATTCGTAATTGGCCTTTGTTTAACATATAGGCTCTTATATATTTAGGGATTTTAAAAGTGTGATAGAAAAGAAAGTATTGAACACAGGTTCTTTCTTTGGGATTTGCACTAAAATATGAATTTGACCTCGGTCCACAATTTTTAAACCTGAAAAGTACAAATGTTTGGACAGCGATCATCGAGTTGTCCTTATAGCATGTTGGAAGTGGGTATTGAAAAACCTGAGGTAACCCGAAACCTAGAAAGGCACAGCCTATCAAGTTGACAAGAAAGGAAAGGAAAGGGTTAACAAAAGTAGAAAGTGCTATTTGGAGACAGACTTAAGTATTTCATGAAAAGCCTTGAGAATACTTCAGCGTATGGATTCTAACTACCATAGTAGTCAAGTAATGTGTCCTCCTTATAAAATTAAAATGAGCATGCCTGGTAACCAGTGAAGAACTCAGGTCACTCCAAATGTAATATTTGTTATTGTCCACACTTTAGGACTATGTTACTGTTGGTTTAGCTCTCTGATGTGACATTTTCTTTTGTCGTTGTTGAAAGAAAAAAGGTTGGAAAATACTCAATATGCTGGAGTGGTAGGAGGAAAATTAAGGGCAAGCACAGACAGAGATTTCTCCACTCATTCACTTATACAACAACTTCAGTTAGAAGAGTACACAGTGTTTTTAGCCTTATTTCCCAAGCCTTGCAAAGTACATTAATATTCTGCACCCATTTCACTAATGTGTTTAAAGAAAAGAAGGCTCAAGGAAGTTCTTTCCAAATACCATGCGTAGATCTGGAGCGGGAACTAATTCTTAAAGGTCTTGAGTTTCGTCTTCTAAGTTCGGCTGTTGCATGGCTTCCTCCATCAAAGCCTCAGAGGCTGTGCCATCCAGGAAGCAAGCGGAGGCCCCCGTTGCTCCAGTGCCCGAGTAGTTGATCCCCAAATGGATCCAGATTTATTCGGGGGTTTGCGTAGCCTTGCTTGACAGAGTAAAAGGCGAAGTAGGGTCCCCTTATTAGGAGAGGGTCCATTCTTCTGAGAAGCTTTTCTCCCTCTCTGAACAGCGACTATCCAAACTCGTAGTGCTGGAAGCAAGCAGTCGTTCGTTCACTGCCGGAGATGATTTGCTGCCCTGCAGAAGCACACGCATTGCAAGAAGACATGCGGCAGGGTGTGGATTTTTCTGCTGATGCAGCAGAGCACTGCATGCTAACAACCAGCCTGAAGAATGCTGAAGTCATGTGTCAGTGCACACAAGAACAATTCTTAGTGCCCCACGAAGCTTCACTGGTAGCTTAAGGGAGACAGTCACACAGAACTGTTACCACCTGTTCTTGATTTTCAGTTTTGGGCCATGGAGAGCTTATTTCAAATCCACTGATAGTCGAAAAGCAGTTTTAGCCTCTATCAACCGCTTCCCTCACCAAACCTTTCAGTAAAGATGCTGACAAGCAGCAAAACTGAAAACATGAAGTTCACCTGCCCTCTGTACGCGTCATCTGCCTGACTGGGCCAGAAGACAAGTGTGATGTTTCCCAAACAAAAATTGAGTTTGCAGCCTGGTAGTCCATAGGCCCACCCAGCCATCGAGGATGTGTTTTATTTGGCTTGGACTGTGTTTTTAAAAATATTTGAATGTTTTGTTAGGAAATTCCACATAAAATCTACATTTCTGGTTTCTCTTAAAATTCTGAAGATCTGGTCATCCTGGGCCCACATTCTCAAGCGATAATGATGTGGTGAGGCCAAGGGGCAGCTCTGCCCTCAGACTGGATGGGACTCACTTCCTGGTTGCCCCAATTCCCACCCAGACCTGTTGTATCGCTTCCATTACCTATTAGTTCCTGTGGGCATTGGGTTTGGGACCCCCGACAAGATAAGGAGCCCAGAAGAGGGAAGATTTTGCTTTTCTTGCAAATGTCTGTGGTGACTCAGTCCCTGCCGGTGTGAAATTTGATCCACCGATGAACAAGATTAGTATATACATGCCAGAGCCCTGACTGTGCAACCAGGTGAAATGAGTGCAATTTAGGAGACTGGATTTCACTTCCATGACTCATGAGGAAGGAAGACTATTTCAAACAAAATGGGGAATGTATAAGGAAAAGCACACTTAAACGGAAGACAGGTAACCTGAGCTTCTGATGCAATTCCCCTACCCCCATGCTGATACCGCAGTTTCCTTACCTACATGATGGCAGTGTTAGTAACCGCCACCTGTCATCTCATCCAGCATTCGTTCATTTGACATCATTTATAGAGTCGTTAACATCCAGGGTTTAGAGTCGTACAAACATGAATCGGCACGTAGGACTTCATTTTCCTCCTCTGTAAAATACGGATCATAATATAATAATAAACACCTCCGTGTCTTCTGTACTCTATATATACTCAATCACTATGAGCTTTTATTTATTCATTTTTTAAGTACCAAATGTTTGCCAAGCGTTGTGCTAGGCCTTGGAAATAGGAGCGTTTTTTAGCGGAGTTTCACATCGGGCTTCTAAATCGGAGGTCCTGACATTGAGTGGACCATCCCATTGATATTTGAATTAGAAAAACGTACACCCACAATAGTTTTCATAACATTCCAGGAATTTGGGAGCCCCTGAAGCCCATCCATGGGGCCTGCTCCATTAGGTCCTCCCTGGGTTGGCCACACAGGATGTGGAAGCGGAGCTTCCAGAAGAGGGAGTTCCAGAAGAGGGAGCTGCACACAGGCGCAGTCAGGGCAGAGTTGTGAGGGCAAGGGGCTAAGGTGCCCAGAGGTGAAGGGGGCGCCAAGGGGAA